TAGCAGCAAACCTATAATAATTGTAAAATAAAATTAATCCATAAATTTCTCCATTGTTTCGATAAATAGAAATATTGAATACTGTTCAATACAATATGTCAATGTAAAATTCATCTCAACATTTCTCAAAAGACTACTACTTCAAAAAAAATGATTAAACCATATCAAAGTTAACTTCTTTAATCGACAATTTAGATATCCCTCAAAATATCAATCCCCTGCACACCACAAAAGTAATAAGGGTATAATTAGTAAACTTAGAATGAAATAGTTAACTTTTACGGCATGCCTTAAATGCACGCCGTAAATGCATGTCGTAAAAAGTAACATTTGTTGTAGTGACAAGTCCACTACTTCTATATTGGGTTGAATTCGACTGGTAAGGCTAACAATGACTCTACATTAAAAGGATTAGTTACGAAAAGGACAGGAGATTGGGTGTATCAAATCATGGATGATGTAGCATATACTAGTACACAATGGCCAATAGAAATATCATGTGGAAAAAGAGTTGCAGGGATGCACAAGCTGACAAGTTGACAGCTATTTGCTAAAAATATAGATAGTTGGGCAACAAATCAAACAGTGAATGTAGTTCAAGTAGTTGGGTCGAGATGCAACCATTGCATGGGTAATCATAAAAGTGTGGACAGTAATATGGAGAGTCCACATGATAATTTTCAAAGACGACGGAATATTCCCCATTCCAATATATACAATTCAGGTTGGAAGAATTAACCAAACTTCAATTGGAGCAACAATAAGTCTTCTCATGGTGCATCATATCAAAATGCATCATCAAGTTTTCAATGACCAGAAAAGAAACCTCCATGGGAAGAAGCATTGAGCAAACTAACAGCATTTCTACTAAAGCATCAACTAAATTCATACAACAACTTGAGAAAAATTTGCTGGTTCATGGGGCTACAATAAAATATTTGGAGAATCAAATGGGACAAATAGCTTATGCACTTTCAGAGAGACTACTAAGAACCCTACCAAGTGACACTGAAACAAATCTCAAACAGCAGGTAATGGCCATAAGTGTTGTGGATAATGAAATAATTGGGGATTTACCTGCAAAGGCATTAACTCAGTCCAGACAATTACTACGTAGAGTGTTAAACTTCTAGAAATTACAGTTAAGAGACAGGTAGTAATAAATGAAAAGGTGTCTTCCACAGATGAGGAACAAGTGGATCGATGTGAACAGTCAAAAAAATAGTTATAGATCAGATGTCAAATAATTCACAAGTTAAAACAACAATTCCTATCAAGACATATGCGTCTCTGGACTCATTTTCTCAAAGATTGTAGAAAAAAAATCTTGAAGAACAATTCGAGAAGTTTGTGGACACGTTAAGGATGCTCCACATCAACATACCATTCGTTGATGCAATTGGACATGTTTCAAGTTATGCAAATTTCTTAAACAATGTGATATCAAAGAAAAGAAAGCCTTCGGAATTTGAAGAAGTGGCATTGAGAAAAGAGAGCAGTGAAAGGCAGCAAAATAAACTGCTTCCAAACTTAAGGATCCAGAGAGTTTTCCTTTACCTATTTCACTAGGAAAAAAAAAATTCTTTTAATGCTTTATATGATACAGGTGCATGTGTTAACTTAATATCTTTTTCTATCTACAGGAAATTAGGAATTGAAGAAGTAAAGGAAACAATGGTGTCATTGCAAGTGATTGATAGAAGCATCAAATATACAAGAGGCAAGGTTGAAAATGTACTCATTAAAGCTGGAAAATTGATATTCCTAGCGGACTTCCTTGTTCTTGATATAGAAGAAGATCGAAATATTCCAATAATTTTAAGTTGACCTTTCCTAGCAACCGACATAATCTTGATTAACTTGGAGAAAGGTGAGTTGATCTTGAGGGTAGAGGATAAAAAAAGTTTTTAAATTACAGAATTACTCTAAGCAACCATTAGACCTCGAGTTGTGCAACTGTAACGATGAAGATGATCCACAAATTTTACTGAAGAGAAAATTTAAAGTTGATGGAATTCTTGATACAGATGAAAACAAAGAGTTCAAGATTTGAAGAACAAAAAGAGGTTGAAATGCTGAAAATTGCAACAAGTGCAAAGCCGAAAAAAGTCCACTTTGAACCACCATGATCGACTCCGCTACAAAGTCTAGCTAAACAATTTAAATTAAGTGCTTATTGGGAGACAACTCAATTTCTAATCTTTTATTTATTATGCTTTATGTATTTGCATTACTTGTTTGTTTATTAGGTTACATTAGTTTTAAGCATATTTTTATTTAAATAAAAGGGTCATCATATATATATATATCAAGCCTAGAAAAAGAAATTTAGTCATAAACAGTAAGGAAAAACATGTGACACATTTTTCAAGGCTCCAATGCCGTTAAAAAATTGGTTATCATACACACCACATTATAACTTTTAAATTATTTCTTGTCTCTTATATTTGTTTCTTCTTTCAAAGGTAAGGAGATATTAAACTGGAAGAAGCTTAACAAGTTGAAGAATGGAATGGAATGATCTAAAAAGCTTACTTCTAAAATCAAACTTAAAATTTGGAAAGTACCTACTTCCTATCTATCGCGCTCCTTTATGTTTCTTGATTACACTTTAAGAAATTGAGGATAATGTCTACTTTAAGTTTGTGGTGGGAAAATATTGAGTTTTTAGTTTTATTATTTATATATGATTGTGTTTATTGCTTTATTATACACGAGAACAAAATGCAATTTTTTTTTTTTAATTTTCAAAAATATTTTCTTTTTAATTTGTTTGCTTGTATGAGTTAGAGAATCCTTATTTGTTGAAATGTTGACTTACAATTAGTGAGATAGATCCATCTAACATAGAGAGCGTGAGGATTAATATTAAAAAAATTAAACTTTAGATTACATCTTGGAACAAGAGTAAAAAAATAAATTTGGAGCGTGTGAATCTTACGGGTGAAGAAATGACAAATTTGATCATTGAGGATCGGGAATTGAAACACCTTGTGATTTTATAATGTTATACTTGATTCTTCACATACACAACAACAGTTTTGTATTAGAGAAGTTGATGTTAATTTGGTATTGTGTCCTTGAAGTTTATAAATATAATACAATGATTTCAATTCAATGAGACAAAACGGCAAGTTATCTAGCCAAAACTTTGTTGTTAGCATGTTTGTTAAGTTAGGTTAGGTTTTGTTTTGTTTGAGCATAAACAAATGTTTAAACTTGTAGGTGTTTCATAAGTAAATTTTATATACTTATTGGACTTTAAAATGTTGTTATTTCATTGTTTTTTTGATAAGTTATAGTCTAATTTAGTGTATATTTAATTTATTAGGTAAAACACGAAGATTGAAATTGAAATAAAGAAGCAAAAAAGGATGAAAAATAGTAAAATCCAAAGTTTGATGACTCAATTGCAACTTTTCAATAGTTTGTTTGGACTACAAAACTATAATTGAACATTTCTAAGAGTCAATTGGATGCAACTAGAAGTAAAAAATGAGTGAAATATGATCAAATAATTTTCACAAGTCAATTTCCTACTGCCAAGTTATGTTCTAGATTTTTAACCATAGATTGAGATCTATTTTTGACATAATAAATACTCGAATTAAAAACATTCTAATTCTAGTAAAGTTGTATATATTTGAGTTAGTTTTTTAATGCACATTGAATCGCCTTAATCACATATTGAAAAACAAGGTTATGATAAAAATACTGATAGCTTTACAGAGACAAAAACATGTGCACGTAAAAGCAACTTTCCTTATTCGATTGAAGCTTTTCTTGGTTTCAATTTTGAACGATTTTTCAGCCAAATTTTGAGGCTATAAATACATAAGAGAAATATATAAATGGAATCTCTCATATACAATTATTCATCAATAACATCATTAAAGAGAAGTCAAACCACTGTTTTTGTGAGAATTGAAGGGCAATTACAAGTTTTCAAGAAATTGGAGTTTCAACCTTGATTTTTGGAGAGATGAGAGGAAAATATATTGGAGATTTATCAAGAAATTATTGAAGAGATTTAAAATTTCAAAATGTATCATCTTCTTCTTCATCAAATTAAAGTCTCGATTATGTTCTTCCAATTAATTATGATTTCTTGTGATTTTGTAATGTCAGGCTAGAGTTTTAATTACTAAGATATTGATGAACCATTATTATGATGTTTTAATATAAATTCGATAATTTGATGTCCAATATGTATTTATTCTTGGATGATTGTTCTAGGATGTAGTGAATTTTCAATTATTGATTACTAATTGGATTAATTGTGAACTTTATTGATTTCAAGAAAAATAATAGGACATATAGCACTTTATTACTTGTTCGCGATAGCGTAGACTTGTCGATAATCAAACGATCAAAATGTCAAAAGTTCACTATGGCCTTTTGTAAACTAGAGTATTGATTTTGTGGGACCTTTGCCTCGAAGGTAGATCTAACCTAAGATTCATGATCGTGGCAATAAATTACATCACAAAGTGGGCAGAAACAGATTCTCTCACCAATATCACCAAATTAAGCTAATACTTATAAGTTCATCCTGAAAAATATCATTTGTCGATTCAAAATATGATCTTAGATAAAGGCACACAATTTCAAGAGAAAAAGTTCAAAGCTATGTGCGAAGAACAAGGAATCCACAGACATTTTTCCACTACACGTTGTCCTCAGGTTAATAGACAAGTGGAAGCAATGACCAAAACCTTAAAAAATATTTTGAGAAGAAAGCTTGATTTCTCAAATAGACCGTAGGATGACAAATTACTACAAATTTTAAGGTCATACCTTAACACTATGAGGATTGCCACAGGAGACTCCCTTCTCATTAGTTATGGAGTCGAGGCTATGATACATTTGGAAATAGGTCTAAGTTGAGTAAGGAAGTCAAACTTTGATGAAGAACAAAATGATGAAGCAATGAATGGGAACCTAAACTTCCTAGAGGAAAGGCGAGAGGCTTTTCAATGAACCTCTTAATTGATTTCAAAATGAAGTTCCCATCTGAACAAGAGCAGTTGAGAGCTCGTCAAATTAGTGCACAACAGATATATAAAATAGAAGAGCTTTGGAAGACAAATCCTGATGCAACCTTGGAAGAACTTGAGAAACCAGGTGTAGATGATGAACCTCAATCTGTAGCCTTGAAGTATGAAGATGCTTATCAGGTGCCATTAATGAGCTTTTAGTCGATCAGCTGCATGTTAAACTGCGTTCAATATTGTTGAAGCTGCATTTCTGTTTCTGGCTGTTGCTTTACATTGATGAATGTACCATATTTCTTTTGCAGTATCAAAATGTTTTTGCACCCCTTATCAAGCTTGAAGCAGACTATGATAAGGTTTGATTACATCTAATTCTGTGGCCCACCCCAAGAAACCCAAACAAATGGATAATAGAAGATGGCGAGTCCTCCACACATTGATCAAACTTTTTTCCCACTTTATGTCTGTAATTTATATCTTGAGATTTTGTTCAGTAATAATTACCTTTTCTAATGTATGCTTTGCTAGAAGTTTCAATTTTCATTTCTGTTTCACAGATGATGAAAGAGTCTCAGAGCAAAGATAACTCCCACAGATTTGATGATGCATCTCGATTAACTCCCACAGAGGTTAGACAAAGTATTCTCTAATGATTTCATTAATTTCTTCAGCATCTTTGTATACTTCTGTTTTTCTTTGTATAGTCGTATTTTGCCTGAAGACAATCTTTGTAAATTTTACTTTCATTTTTTCGTCACTTTGTGAAAGTTAGATTGTGCCCCCCTAATTTCGAAAGTCTGTGTCCGCCCCTGCATTTAGACGAAACTAAAACCATGATGCTGAGCTGGTCTTTCTGGGTTATCAGTCACTTTAGGATTGAGATGACTCAGACTTCTGCGGGGCAATAGTTGGAGCCTGATCCAGCAATATCACACGAGCGAAAAAAATCCCTATGAAAGGCATAACAACAAATGTATTCAGTATTCAAGGTTCGCAGAATAGTACAATCACGATACTACATATATTTGTTGATTCTGAGGACACATATTTTAGAGCCACCCGAAGGTGGATATTTGTCATAGATATTACTATGGTTCGTTAGCTAGTGGCAGACCGTAAGTGACACGATCCCATCTCGAGTCACCCTAGTGGACCCAAACGTGACTGCGCCGATGATGAGTTCCAGCTAGATGCTGGACCCACCACCAAGGCCACATTGACTGTTCTACGACTATTTGAATATTTTATGAAGACAATGTTTTCTAAAAATTTTGACAGAGTTTCCCCTGAAAATAGAATAATACCAACCAGAAAATTCGATACAATAATCAATATCAAATATTTGGGAACCACCAATTCCACCAACACTACCAAAACTAAATCAATATAACACTTCTATTTCAAAACACCAAGTTTGCATGCATGCATTACAACATTTGAACATTAAACAAAATATTAGACCAAGAGTATTGTGAATATGAGTCCCCAACTAAACATTTAAATGCTACGATATGGTTAAGATCATGCAACCTAATGATGGATAGTCAGACTCTGGACTTCAATAGGCTTTCCAGGTATCTCAAATTCAGCGACCTCCTAATAGGAAAAACATAACAAAATATATGAGCTTGTAACTCAGTGAGTGGATAGTTCACAATAACATATACTTTTTCCATTTATACATTTTTACTGAAAAATCTGCTTTATTATTCTTACAGTTTTTAAGAAATGCTGATAATTTCTTTTATAATTGAAACATGCTAAAATCATAAAATTCATATTCTTTATTCTAAATAATCAACTATAAAAATATGTCAAATATAGACAATCTAGTATCAACATAAATTTGTGTAAAACTGTCATTTCTGTAAGTTAAAATGGTATTTTTGTAACTGAATAAGCTGAATTCTATATGTTGAAATGAACTATTATCTGATATTTGAAATTCTGTGAATCTTCAACTGAATATACATAAATGATATACTAAATAATCACACCAAGAAGTACCCAATAAATAGCCTTACTCATGTACAGAGTAATCTTGATGTACAAGGCAAAGCCATTCAAATATGATAATCTGATCATACGTACGCAGAGCTGCCCCAAAGGCTAACCACCTTAGTACATGGCACAAAGTCTATGTGTGTATGAGAGTGGGTCCCAAAGACCTCTGATAATCTGGTCATACACTGTGGAAACACATTCACATCAATGCAGAGCATGCAAAATCACTGAATCTGGTCATACACCGTGGAAACACATTCACATCAGTGGAGAGCGGGTAAAATCACCTGGGTAATTTCTGATGGTTTTGAAATAACTTTAAATATGCTGAAATATGTAATATGAATATAACATGCTAGATAAATGATTTCAATGAACTGGATTTAATTTTAAAAGAAAACTGACTATAAAATCCGTTTGATTATGAAAATAATGCTGTCAAATCAAATATATGTAATAATTAACTTTCTGATATAGTCTAAATTTAATAAATATTTATTTCTGAAAAATAAGATTTTCCATTCACAAAATACGAGCTACAATCTAGACTGGCTGATAGACGTTTTCAATCTCCTCATCACCACCTGAAATACTATGAATAATCAATTTAACAACCACCATAATAAGTAGTCTTAGTATTAAAATACAAGCTCTTAGAACTTAATTCCTCCATACTTGAATAAATTCCCCAAATTATTCATTTAATCCATTGGAGCTAATATCACTTTCTAGTCCATTTACTAATGACCAACTCATCATCATAACCTTCAATCCGAGCATATATGTAAATACCCACTTCAATCTAGTGACAACTAGTAATTATAATTCATCCCATTAAATTTCCTCTTCTTCCATAAATGTATACTTCCATGTAAATATTTCATCATCACAATCATTTTCCACAAATATCCTTACTTAAGAATCAAATTAGAAATTCTAGGGTTTGCCCAAAAATAGAGTTTCTTACCTTAAATGTAAATGGAAGCTAACAATCAAGAAACTTGAACTAAAAATCATGATCTTTTACCTACATTTGCAATTTCGAGCCAAGTTAAAACCCTAGAAAATTGACAATATATAATTCTATATCTCTTGAAAAAATTAAGACAAATCGAACATAAGATTGAGGAAATCGCCACTTACCCTTTTCTTCCCTTTTCCCTTTCATTTTCATTTTCTTCTTCTTCTTCTTCTTTCTCCTTTTTCCTTCCATTTCTTCCTTTCTTTCCTCTCGGTTCGGTCTCTGCTTGGTCTCTGCGTGAATAGCGTAGATGAAAATGGGAAATGGGTTTTAAAATGGTTAAGTCATTAGGCTATTGCAAAGGAAGTCATTTAACTTTTCATGATAATACAAGTAGGTCCTCCACTCCAAAAATAATTAATCTCAATCCTCATATAATATCCATTATGAAATAAGTCCCAAGAAACTTAATTTGCTTCACTTAAGTCCCCTTTGACTATGACTTTGACAATTCAACCCTTGACTTTGACTAATTAAAATAGGTTTGTAACAGTAAGCATTTTGGTGAAATCAAGCTTGGCAAAATGGAATGTACTGTCTGATAGTCTACGGCGCAGTAGCCAGCCAGCACGAACGCCTCTTTACCCTTTGTAATTCCTCCCAAATGCACATATGTGAAAAATGTAAAATATGGCAAACTAATATAAAGGGATTACTACCAATATGTTAGCCTCTTTTGCCCCTTTTTAATGTTGGTTTTGTTGACGTTGCTGCAAAGAGGGAACCACATATTTCCCAAATATCAGAATGGCTATGAGAATGACACCGAGAGAGCACAATGGAGTCAATAAAGATAATGATGATGATGATAAAACACCATCAGGCCTAAATGAAACTCTAGCCCAAACAAACCTATTTTGAGAATTATTTTTGAATAAACTCTAGCCCTAACAAACATGATCATGCATGTTAACCACGCGCATAGGAATACAGGCACATTGCAAAATGTATGTGACGTTGGAAATTGTAGTATTAAAATCCTCACGTCAAGTTCACAAGTTCGGTACTTAACATAGATAGTTGAGCTCGAATTTTAGGGACTATTTGTTGATTATCCTATCTCATGTTTGCTAAGAAACAATTCCCCAATAAACCAAGCTAAGAGTTCATTAAAAACTTTTAGGCTCGCCTATTGTAAAATTATTAAAGCATACACCACCGAAAATTCAAATAAAATAAAAAATATTTTTAGGTTTGCTTAACGAAGAAACTAAACAAAGTCTTGAACCTGACATAAATGAATAAACTGGGACTTTGGGGACTATTTGTTGTCAATTAAAGTTTACATAGAATTAGAAGCAAACATATACCTTTGCGAGCGAACGTTTTCAAAGTCAAACAAACCAGGTGCTAGCTCTGGATAAGGTTGGCAAACATTTGTAATATGAAAACATTATAATCAACCTTAAGTATAAACGGCGAGCAAATATACTTTCATTGATTTCACCAGATATTTCACATCAGCAAAAGTTGTTTTCAAAGCACACATGAATAAGAATGTAATGCATGACTTCACAACCAATAAATAAAGAATAAGTGGACCAGTGAATTAATAAAACGAAAAAGGCTAATAGATTCAGTTAGATGTTAACCAATCAACGACCAGCATGTGTGATTGACCGAAATGATTTAATTCTCTTCGGGACCTCATTAGAAATTGTTTCGCGTGGGTAGTCGCTAACAATAAAAAGGAAATTCAGACGATTGCGTAACAGACAAACCTCTTGAGACAAAGTCCCAAAAAGGGGTACTTTATTGATAAGAGTTACAATTGGAACTAAAGGAAATGCCTCTAAGGGGCGCAAGCACGCAAATACTGAAAGAAGGATAATTAAAGTTAATCTAAGAAATTGAAATTACATATTCTCTATTTGATAGTTTTTGATTCGGGTGCGTTTCTCTATGTCTATCATTTCCTTTTATATTCCTATGATGATTTCTGCGTGATAAACTGCTTGGAAATTGCTACCCATTTTCTTCATGGTGCCTAATTTGTCGTGGAACTGTCATCTCTAACTGCTGCCATTACTTCTCGTTGTTCAACTGCCTTCAAAGAGGTTTCTTAAATCATGGAATGTGATAATCAGCTAGATAACTATCTCAGTAACTTATATTCTGGATGACCATAATATCTCACATATTAGGATTCTGGGCAACTCGAAAGTTTGAGCGAAAACGAGGTTGTCGCGCTGAGCGACAATGAGACACTCCATTCGTCCAAACTCTGGGCGTCATGAGGGCTTGGACGATGATGTTACTGTGTTCGTGGGCTCCTTCTGCACTTGCCAATAACCTCATTTGGGCATTTGTCCTGGGCCTCTAATTGGGGTTCACTCTTTGGGCTATCCAATTTTGGCTGTATTTTTAGTGTGTCAACAATTACCCCCCAATATGGTAGATTTAATATAAGAATTACCCCCAATATAGCAGATTTAATACCAAGTATTAACTTATGTCATATTCATCTTGTATGTTCTAGGCAATATTTGAAATTCTCGAGAATTTCAAAATCATCATTTCTTTTTTCAGCTTAAAAAAGGTACAATACCTTATAAACCCAAAAGACGCACCATTTCTTCGCACCCCTAAACCACATTCCTGTATTTCGTTCTTCTTCCCCTCTAT